CACGCACACACACGCACACACACGCACGCACACGCACGCACACACACACACACACACACACACACACACACACACACACTACTTTTATGGTAATTGTCTGAGTGGACATTCCACAGTGATGATTCATCTCGATACAACACTGTTCATCGCGAAGAAACTAAGCACGTGACCCAATCTCACCCACCTGATTGGTCGGGTTCTTGCATCCTGGTTACGATGTCGGATGAAATTAGAACATGCGTCCTGTGCATCCGATATCGCAACGGTCATAAAATTGTGTCGTACCGCATACACGGTGCGTTTTGGACGTATGCGTCTGCCGTACGTCTAGGACGTACGTCCAAAACGCATCGTGTAAATAGGCTTTTAGCCCTGTTTACCATTTGTTTTGCACTGTTTACTACTGTGTGTATAATACATGTATGTTAATAAAGGATAACTTGTATAGTAGCGATGATATCTCTGATTCTCATCACTTTTCCAAGTTTTCTTGTTCAAGTTTTACATTTATTTTGATTTTTTTTTTTCCCGATGAAATCGATTATAGATTTTGATAACCAAGCGCTTGGTTCGTGCCACTGTTCAACCGATGATCGAGTATAATCGATGATCGTGACATCACTACCTAATATACTACCATGTGTGTCCACTCACATCCATGAACTTGGCATTGATTTCGTAGATGATCTGCAGGTGACGTGGCAGTAGGTTCTCAAGCAGGGAGACGGGCCAGCGCTCGAGGGCTTCAGGCAGCACTGTGTGGTTGGTGTAGGCGCACGAGCGTACTGTGATGTCCCACGCTTTCTCCCACGTGAGGCCCTCGATGTCCAGGAAGATGCGCATCAGCTCTGGGATTGCCATCGATGGGTGAGTGTCGTTCAGCTGGATTGCCACCTGCCAGAAAGCAAGCATGGTTCAGTCACAGATCACTAGAAATCCAAAGGGCAGAACACTGGATGGGGGGGGGGGTCACACTTCACGAATGAAACAAATGGCACAACACTGGAGGAAGTCACCATTTCAAGAATGAAACATGGCAGAACACTGGAAGGTATCAACACACTGGATGGCCCCCTGGCTAGCATTACAGGGTGTGAGTCCGTGTTTACATCCTCTCCCCACTAATTTGCAATGATTAACAGTCAGTTTCCCTTTGAAACACATTCTAAAACTATGGCGCGTCATGGATATTTTCCATCTAATGATCAACATAAACTGCAAAAGTTTATAAACAACTATGTGTGTACTGAAATCAATCCGTCTACACCGGCTACACATCATCAAACTAATGGTCCAGTCAGTTTTGCTTTTAGATACACCGTTCTAAAACAATGGCATGAATTGGTGTTATGGATTTTTTCCTCCTAATGATTAACATAAACTACAAAAGTTTATAAACAACTATATGAACCACTACTGAAACCCACCAGGCTACATTGGCAATGCATCATAAGCCTAATATTTCTAGGTCAGTTTATAAACAACTATATGCGTACTGAAACCCATCATCCTACATTAGCTATGCTTCATAAACCGAATATTTCAAGGTCGTGCATTTCCCCGACAGCGTTAGCGTCTAGCTACCTTGTCAGGGAAAGTGTCGAAGGAGGTTCTAACAGGATCGCGGCAGCCAAACCGCGACGACTTGAAGCGACGGATGATGTCCTGCAGTGTGGCGGCTACCATGAAGTACTCCTGCTTCAGTCTAAGCTCCTTGCCCTCAAAGAACTACAGACGACAACACAGGGTGAACGTTAACAATGTAGACTCCTGGGAGACACACTCACTAGCTATTATCATGCTGGATTCCCTGAATTCACATCGGCAGGTGTTCGTACGAATCCCTGCGAATTCGGCTTTTACCCGTTTTAAAATCATATTCTGGTAACGTACATCAAATAATAAGATAATTTATATCACTCTGGCAGCCATTTGATATGTGCTGTGCTGTGGACTACCTCCTTTTGCTTCAGATTTTTGCACTCTTTTAGAGAGAACAGAAAACTTTAAAACTCAGTGTATACTAATGTGGCAAGAACAGCATGCAAACAGACTAGATGGAAACAAGAAGCAGACATGGATAGTGTCAGGCAGGATAATACACTGTGACACAGTTGCTCGCTTGCATATCGGCTTCACAATTTTACATTATATTGTGGACGATAGGTATCATTCATGACAAATTCAACTAGTTAAATATATGATTTTTACACTAGCTAAGAAATGTATAAATTTAAAAATGAATGCCTACTGTTCAATAGCATAATTCAATAGTCTGTTGTTACTACTAGATAAAATAAGTTAATATATGATGACAATACGTATATACATTTGTAATATTATTGTTATTGTAATAGAATTTAATTATGTAATGTATATAAATTATGAATGTACTTATGAATATAAATATAATTAAACCTTTATATAACCCCATTATAGATAGCAATAACTGCAGATTATGCAAATAACCAGCAGTTCACATTTCTGCTTCAATCTATCTATAACCTTCATGTAGGTCAGGAATTCTTATAAACAAAGACTGATCTCACGATACCAGCATGCCTCGTGGAACATGATAACCACTGCCACTGCTGTAGCTAGCTACCGCTTGGCCTTTCCTTTACCCTCCATGGCTAAACTTGGCAAATATAACACACACAACAGATGCTTCGAATATACCACACATCGCATCTCACGTTTACTTAGTGTGGATAAATATACATGCATATTGGAAAAGCGAGTGCAAAAACTAGTCCTCAGTTATCCATCCGAAATCCTGAGTGAGCCCATTGGAACTTAACCAACTTTTTACTCACAGTTACAATGCTGCATCACATATTATGATTCCCAAAACTGGACTAAGCATCCATCTACAATGCATTAACCTTGGTATTGACGAAGCCATTTTATCAGGGGTTGTGTCCGTCAGCACAAGTACAGCAGTTTTTGCTCGGCTCTTACATACAGGCTGATACAGCAGAGGATCGTTGAAAGTGCAACTATTTAAAACTGAAGAAACAGTAGCTGACAAGGAGTACCTAAAATAGGTATAATGGTATGATAGCCTTTTGAAGTGCAGGAAAGATTACAATCTGCTCACAGGTTGTTAGCTATTAAATGCTAACACACGAAGCATTTTAGGAGCACTTATGTAGTTCTTGTGGAAAGGGAAACTGAACACTCAAATTGTTATTCAAATTGTCATTAGGTTCGAGGAGATGGGCACTTACGCTTGAAATAGGAATAGATGTACAATCACATTGTCATTAGGGAAGGGAGCACTCTCATTGTCAATTTGGACAGTATGCAATTATGTTGTGGTTAGGGTGGTTCTCGGTGTGCCACTGAAATTGTTTTAGTGGAGGGCAGGAAGTGAACGCCTCACCCTGACTTAGGATGTGTGAAGAGATACGCACTCGTGTAATCATAGAGGGACCGGAGGATAGGTGCGTAGTCCTGCAGTCTTATGGAGAGAAATACACACATTGTATAGGCGGTAAGGGTAGGTGGGTACTGTCATTGTTGTAGGCAGTAAGGGTAGGTGGGTACTGTCATTGTTGTAGGCAGTAAGGGTAGGTGGGTACTGTCATTGTTGTAAGGGATAAGGGTAGGTGGGTACTGTCATTGTTGTAAGGGATAAGGGTAGGTGGGTACTGTCATTGTTGTAAGGGATAAGGGTAGGTGGGTACTGTCATT